CCCCCCCCTCGGCCCTTTACTTTTATTGGCTTTGGGGGAGGCAGGCGGGCGATGCCTGGATATTCACTCAATTCAGACTTACTTACTCCCGGAATGCATTACACTTTGCGGCTACACGATCGTTTGCGCAGCGAGCGAGCGGGAGGGGCGCGGAGCCGATAACCCTTTCGGGCGGCGTCGAGGGACCAACCGGGGGACCACAACCGCACTTGTCTTGTCTTTTGTCGTTGCGCTATTTTTATTATTTCTCTTGCCACCGCGCTGCTGCTCAGCCTACTGCGTATACCGCATGTGCGAGTACCCACAGAAAGAGGCGGGAGAAAAATAAAAGTGCGGAAACAACAACACTTTGAGCAGCAGCAGCGGCTTTGACACACGAGGCGCCACCACCAGGAGCTACTAGCGACACAGAGAAAGCGATTCCTTATCTCGGCCCGTGTCGCCGTAATGCGTTTTTAATTTCCTGGAGAGGAGCGTTGCGTTTAGCATCGACACGAACGAACACTTTGTAGTGTAATTACAGCGCGGTGTGACGCGGCTACAGTCATTACCGAGTTTGGGCAGCGAAATGTGTTTGGAGAAGGGGCGGCGGCGGGTTTGAATCGCTTTTCGATAACAGCGCGGAGCTGCCGGCGGCGCGCTGCCCTTTCGCATTTGGGGGAGCATCTTTTTGATGTTTGATAAGCAGGCTATGCCAGGGAAACGTTGGGGGAGAGCGTCGGGAAGGGGCGTGGCGAGGGAGGGTGGATGAGCGGGGGAGGGGGGATGCAAACCCATACATTCAAGTGCTGATGACGAATGTTTTAATGCTTTTGTTGATTATATTGTCCCGCCGCGAGACAAGTTAATATCGCATCTCTACGACGCACCAAAACTTTACTCCCTTTCCTCTGCTTTTGATGAATGTGTGACAGCGTTTGTGTCAAAGCGATTCCCGCGACTACACATCTTACATTTCGCCAGACTCACGAAGTTCGTGCAAGAAAGTGCTCCCCCTCCCGTTCCCTAGGGTAAGATGCCCTATGATGGCCACCTTAAGAATGGGCCTGCCCAATGATGGCCACCCCTTTTTCTTGTAATGTAGACAACGAT